CTTGCCAAGCATTTGCTAAGGTATCTAAATGGAACTTGGCACGGTGCTTCGATTTAAGACCAACTTATAAGCCTGGAGCTTGCTTGTTTTGTCGACAGTAATCAGGGGGCTTAAAAAGAGAAGTTTAAAGCGGGGGCTTTAAGCCCCTTAAAACGGGGGGTCCGACAGGGGAGCTTTAAGAGGGCTTTAAAGGGGGGGCTTAAAGGGGGTTTAAAGGGAGTTTTAAAGGGGAGCTTAAAGGGAAGCTGAAAGGGGGGCTTAAAGGGAGTGCTTAGGGGCTTGAAGGGGGAGCTTAAGGGAAGGGCTTAAGGTAAGCTTAAAGGGAGGGCTTAAGGGCTTTGACTCTTTACCCCCCCCTTCCCCCTCAAAGGGACTTCCTTTGCAGGGACCCCTAAAGGGAGGCTTAAGAAGGCTTAAAGGGGGCTTAAAGCGGGGCTTAAGCTCCCCTTTACCCAAGGGGGGGGGGGGCCATTCTCGAAATGTTAGGCCTGATCCTGAAGACCATGTATTAAGCGCGACTAGACCATGTCCTTGCACAAGGCGTTGAAAATAAGCGTCTTCTGCTAAGCGATGCTGTGACAAGCCGTGCAGGTGCCTATACCACCCGCACTTGTGTTCAGCGTAAAGTTGAAATCCCCAAAAACGACTAGAGTGTCACGCTGCGGAACTCCGCGGACTGCTCTTAATAATAAGGCCAAACACAGTGATCTGTTCTCTCGGTTTTGTTGAGCTGTCTGAGAGGTCCAGACTTGCTGGTACACTGTGATAAGGTGAACACGTGCACCTTTCCATTGGAAGACCGCTTCCAACACCTTGTCTTTTTGATGTTTGCTCCATCTCATGGTGGCTTTGGGAATGTGTTCGAGCCTGTGGTTGCGTGCCTGGCTGTGCCGTGGAGTTGTGATCTGGCGCAGGTTTGCTGTTTGCCTTAGAGGCTTTGGCCTTGCCTTTGCTGGCTGAGCTTATACAATTCCACCCCTTAACATAAACTTAGCGCTTTCCTGCCAGTGCGTCTCTTGCAGAGCAATCACATCATATTTGATCTGAAGCTGTACGCAACCAGGTGCAAAGCTTAGCCCATTGCTGTTAACTTAAGTGCCCGGCGTTCCAAGTCAATACCCTCAGTAGCTTGACCATATTGCCTCTCCTCTGGGTCTGGGCGCTGTGCGCATGGTAGAAAGCGTCGACTGTGTCGACCCCCTGTTGCTACTGGCAGGTCGGAAGGGCGCAAGCCGCTTCTCTCCACATATTCCGGCTCAAGATTTCTTTTCTGTAAGAAACGCTCTGCTGAGTGCGTGAAACTAAAGCACATGCTCCTGAATGCAACTTTACAAATGCTCCGAAAATTGTCTTGGTGCTTCGAAGGTACCGCCATCCGCGTTTTTCCCCACCTGAAACAGGCTGCGTTTGCTTCTTGTGGGTACTCCTTCCACCTCCCTCTCGCCTACCCCCTGAAAGAATGCAGTGACTGCAATGTCTGAGCTCCGGAGGCCCGGGAATTGGGACCCGGCAGATCAGACGGCTCAAAGATCGCGGCTCACAGTAAGGCGCAAGCTGTTACGTTCCCTGAGGACTGGTTGAACCTCTAGGACAGCAGTTGCGCCCAAGGCCCGGTTTTCCAGGATGCAAGTGCCCGGCCGTCTGATCCGTGGCGGCTACTACTACTACTACTACTACTACTACTACTACTACTACTACTACTACTACTACTACTACTACTACTACTACTACTACTACTACTAGTACTTCTACTACTGTTGATCAGAAGCAGCGGAAGAGGCATCGGCTAATAAACGCATGCCTCTGACTTGAGTTGCGGCGTGGGGTTGGTCCAAGTTGGATGAATGAAGGATGCAGCGGCTGCCGAACATACATAAATCATAAACCTTCAAGGTTTTGTGCAAGACCAAGCGCAAGTGCGATCGTAGTCAGAACATGTCATGCATCAACATGCTTTAGAGGTGAATTCATTTTCAAAATCTATTCGAATCCAGCTTTGAGGAAGACAAGTGGAAAATCAACCTTATTCGTTCTTTGAAGGTTTAACACGCTAATGTCTGAAATAGGAATCTTTTCCTTTTTATGTAAGTTTGCAAGCTGTTTCGAACTTTGATTGAGTCGCAGATTGGTGCAAAGAATGCATGTCTGCTTGTTTTAAAAGTAGCAAGGGGAAGGTGCAAGAGAATCGAATGTGCGATCTTTGATTGAATATCTCATGCGATAGTATATGCGAGAGTTGGTGGAGGGCTAAATTCATGCCAAATGTTTTTGAGGAAAGTTACCCTACCCAGAAGACTCATCACAGGGTGATTCGGGTGGCGTGAGAGCGAAGATTTTCAGTTCATGCACTCAGCTTTCTGTTTTGTTCAAGCCTTGTTTTGCAATGTGTCGTTTGTTCATCCCACCAGACAACACAAACAGCTGGTGCCAGAAACAAACAAAGATGAAGGTTGAACTTCTTGCCAAGAGTCAGTGCATGCGCAGAGCATTTAGAAAACAAATCAACATGGGGGCCAACATGGGCTGCAGCCAATGTGTTACGAGACGCTGCCTCAGCCAAAAGATGCATACCGTCAGGCATTTCGATTCCATGACTGGAAGGCCGTGAGCACGACGGTCCAACAGGAAGGTCACGGGGCTTTGCAAATGCATTAAAAAGACGGTGCAGGGTTTTTAGCGGATGTCCATCAGCAAGCTGTGTGCAGATTGAGTCAACACAGTTTCGGATATGTGAGTCAACATGTTGACAATTTGTGAATTGGATACGCTGCATGAAGTATTCCTTTGGGTTGAATAGGCGGTGTCAATGGTGCAGGTGCACGGACAACCCGTGGTCCAAGTCATCAAGCGTCGTCAATGCAGCCGACATGTCTTTTACTCGCAACTTCAGAATGCGTGGAGTTTGAGTGTGTTGCCGGGACGAGGTATCAGGCGATGTTGAAGCAGTGGAATTAAGCCGGCTGTGAGATGAATGGTGAACCCTTCGTGCTAGATTTTAGCTGGCGAAGACAGGAACTTGGCCCAAGACTGCACCGGGAACCGCCAGGCATTGTTCGTGGAAGGTGTGAGTATGGTACAGGTTTATTTCGGCCGAGCAAGGGCGGCATTTGTAAGGCCCATGTTATGAGTTGTTGCTTTTGCACGTGGCAAGATATCGGGATGGATGATGTCAGCAATGTTCTGGGCGCATAAGCTTCCGAAGTGTTCTGTCCGGCCTGCACTACTGCATGGTAGAAGCTTGTTCTTTCCTAAACCTATTTTGCTTTGCGCGCTTGAGGTGGCGGACGAAACCTTCGCGTGTCGCTTTGGAGCTGCTTTGTTCCATTGGCATATTGCTACTTGTTTCGTCTTTCAGGTTGTGCAGCATAAGCTTTGCGTATTTGTTTTGTTGAGCTGATCGCACGATGCACGTCAAGGTCCATGCAGCTTCCCCTCCGGCAGTGGCATGTCGTTCACGGACTGGGAGAGGGTCACAAGTTGAAGTGTGAAAGAGAATCCCCGTATGTAAGTCGACATTCGCTTGCATTTTCGGATGCGCAGCTGAAAGAATTGTCATTTTGACAGGCCGTGTAGTGAGATTGAAGGTATGTGTCGTGAGGGTGTTTTGTCCTGCAGGACACGGCAGAATGCAGAGTCACCTCGAACCCCCACTGCAGCAGTTTCGGAGGCACCGATGTGAGTTGAGGAGTCGTGTTGCCAAGCCGTGCTGGGCTTGTCAGCTTCATCCATACTTCGACCAAAACATCGACAAGCATGCCTTGTGCAAGTCGATAGTGTCCGAGGACAATGCGCAGGTGATGCAGGTGCTATTGGATCTTGCAGATGGGGCCATCTTCGAGGCCTGAACCCTGCTGCCCCTGCCCCTGCCTTGCTTATCTTTGAGGACCTTAGCTTCCAGGACCCTGTACAGGCTCTTGCTGAGGCTCAAGTTTGCGCATGCGATTCGTGTTGATTCGCACGATTCGTATGTTTGTGGTGCAGCCAATACAGACTCGCCCACTTGGCAGGGTCAGTGGCGAGATCGCGCAGCGAATGGCAGCGGCATACTTCGGCACACGAATGGTGAGCTGCTGATCAGGGCATGTGCACGGTGCTGTGCAGGATGAACTTTCGAACCTGCTTGTGCAAGGCTGCCTGAGAAGTTGATGTGAAGTTTGGACAAAGCAAACAACTCTCCGATAGTTGGTGCCACTTCAGCAGTCTTATTGCTTGAAGCTGCAATGTCTGCCAGACACTCTTCTCAACACCCTGGTTGTTAAGCGTCGGGAGTGCTGTCTAACTTATGGCTTAAGATAATTGCTGCATGGCTCTGATCAGGCAGTCTTTATGACGGTCAGTGGTCGGCCGGGCATGCAAGCGGATTCGGTCGCTTCACTTGGGCGGACTGGGCTGGGTTTTGCAAAGGATCTTTGTGTTGCGACACTCGGGTACTCCTTTCTCTTACGTTGTCGCTTACTCTTCCATTATTCTGCGAAGGCTTGTGTGAAGCCGCGAAGCCACGTCACAGAGTCGGATGGTTCACGCATTGTGAGACGTGTGAGAGATCATTCTGTATGTCTCTTTCCTCCAGGATGGCTCCACGTACGATGGCAAATGGTGCCAAAATCAGCAGGAGAGGGAGCTGGCTGCTTTACGTGCTTTCAGTGCGGGGCTGTCATATGTTTGTTTTATATTTCGTGAAAGAGGCGTACGGAGGTACCCCGAAGGGGGAAAAGGTTAAAGGGCGCCTAGGCCGCATCCTTGTGCAAGCCACCAACACCTGTCTTTCCGACATGGAGTGGGAACTTGGACCAGGAATGGGCAGGTGAAGGGACATGGATGACATGGCGATTTGAATTTCGGTATGTTTGAGTTGAACCATTGCGCCACCACATATTGGCTCAACTTGACTCAAGTTGAATCAGTGAAGTCCCGTAGAATGACATGGCTAAGACGGAGAAGACGTTCTGGACATATTCTGAGAGAAATTGTGCAAACAAGTAGAGGATCGTGCGGCCTTCATGGGCAACTCTTTGAGATTGTCGCAGCGTGGTGGCTCTGGTTGTTGTCGGCGTCGCAGATTAGAGCACATATCTGTCAAGGCTTGCCGGAGTTCTCAGGTTAAGCACGATGCGGTGTGTTGTTGAAGTAAGTTGAGTATAGATGTCTGTCGGAAAGTTGTGCTTGTTCTTATTGGATGTCAGAGACGCAGCTGAGAAATCCTTGCGTGCCTTGCTTGGCTGTATCGTGTGGTCTAAGTGGGCTGCACTGGAATGGAGTACTGGAGGGATCGCACTAGGTGACCGGCTGTGCGTGCAGGTGACTTCTGGGCGTGCTGACGTGCTGGTCCCGCGCAATGTAATCCCTGGTCTCACCAAAGTCGTGATGAAGGACTGCTTGCTCGCAGCTTGGGCCTTGGTGGGCCAGATTTCCATTGCTTTCTTGGCCGATTCAACTCACCTATACAGGCAGGAGGGCTACGGTGAGCAATGTGGTGGGTCTTGGCGTTCCTGCTTCCATAAATAGTGATGCTTCGATCACAGCAAGAAGGCTTTTTATCCGAAAATGAGTTTCTTTACACTGGACACCTCGAAAAACGCTACAGTGGCTACACACAAAGCGGCTAGTTCTAAAGACCATCAGCGTCCCTGAACAGTTCTGAACATCGAGACTTGCGGAGGACCAGGGGAAAGTCTCGGCGTTCCCGTTGCCCAAAGAGGCAGCTCCAGGCCTTTTTCTTTTGGACCTGTCTGCATGTGTGCTGGAAGCTCAGGATGCCTGTGTGCGTGTGTCTTCCTTTGTGCGTCTGCGCACCATACCTTCCTCAAGAGTCAAGATCCTGTCAAACTGTTCCTCCTCGTTCATTTCGGTTGGCTTCAGGCCAGTTGCCATGCAGTAAGCTTTCAAGTGGCTTGTCACGGGATAAGGGTTTAGGAGGGTCCGCTGCTACGGGGGGTTGCTGTAGCGTTGCCGACGGGTGCCCGGAGAGGTCCAGCGTGAGAAACTTACAAGAAACAAGCAGGTGACGTCTTGCGCATTGCCTTCGAGCAGGAACAGGGCTGGCGCTGTGTGGTGGTGCGGCCTGGAGAAGCCAGGCAAGTTGCAAGACACATGAAGAGACGGGAGCCTCAAGCAGGTCTAGTGTCGTTGTTGCTACTGTTGTTGCTGGGGGGGTTCCGTTGAACCCCCCCTCCTGCACGAACATGGCATCCCCTGATGTCCCTCAGCTTCGCCATCCTCGTAATTGTCGTCACTTTTTGGAGCCTCGCATCTTTTTCGTGGCCCAACAAACCGACAAGGATGGCCCTCCCCCTAACCCTTAAACTCAAAAACCCACACATCCGAAACCCATAAACACTACGCCCGGAAACCCCAATGTAACCCTGAACCGTCAAACCCTCAAGAAACCCTAAACTCCAAACCCACCACCACATTGCAGAGGGCGGCGGCGGAACTCCGAAGCCTGAAGGTAAACTTAAAACCCTCAACCTTAAACCCCACAAAGGAGGGGTAGGGGGTGGAGGCCGCAACCTTAAACCCACATCCCCAAACACCAGACCACAGCAGGTGTGGCGGCAGGACACAAAAACCTGAAAGCCTAAACCCCACCAGCACTTCGCTGGGGCAGCTGTGGAGGGCACTCGGGCTAGCAAGCAAGCATCAGCAGAAACAAAGCGAATGACAGCACATGCTTTAGCTTTGGTTGGGGTTTGTATTCACGATCCCGTGAAGCTCTCGCTGTGAGGAAGAAATCTTGCTGAGGTGTCTGCGGGCAATGGTGCCTGGAGATGCGGTGCCAGGCTGGGTTCTCGAAGTCACTAGCACCTTGCGTGGTTTTGCCTGCGATTTTTGTGCCTGCGGTGACAGATCGCCTGCAGGAGTGTCGGAGGTCCTGGTCAAGGCCCCTGAAGGAATGCTTAGTATGTTGGTGCCGGCCGCGGCGATGCCTGGTGACACACTTGTCTTTACCAAAGGCCTTGCATCAGGGTGGACATGCCAGATTCAAAGGCAACATCGCGATCTTGCGGCGCCATCGCCTGTGGATCCTTCCGAGGATATACAGAGGCATGAGGAGCTCCAAAGGGCCCTGTGCGAAAACTCGGGGTATTGGAATCCGAAGATTCAGAGAGCGAGCTTGAACATGCTGGAGGTTCCTGGCGTTGTGGCCACTGCACCGGTGGCCGAGGGAGAGGTGCTCGCCACCTGTCCCCACGCGTATCATGTATCTCCTCATTTGGTCAGACAGCTGGACCCGGACCTTGCAGTTCTGGCGGCTATGGTTGGACGTGAGGCCCCTGCTGACAATCAGGATATTGATATTCTTTTGGTTGCTATGTTCCTGGCAGGTTTATTGGCTCAATGCACGCAGGATCGCGCTCGTTCTGGATTAGATGGTGTCCGAGGAAACATCCTGCATTCATTCGCTAAGGTGCTTCTATGTGAAACCTTTGCGCTGCATCCATATAGACGTGCAGCCAGTGATCCAGCGAGTTTCCGAAGAAGTCTTACTCCTTCTTGCGAGGCAGACTTGATCGAGCGGTTGTCTTGGGGAGTGCTGGAACGATATCGCCTCATATGCGTAGAGAAGCCGCCGCGGTACTCTTCAGAAGAGTTCCTTCGCGCATGGCTCATGGTCATCACGCGTGCCTTTGAAGTCGGTGGTACGCGCTCCACGCTGGTGCCTGGTCTGGACTGCTTCAACCATGATCCCAGCCGGCAATGTGCCAAGGTGCGTCTGGACTCATCGGGCGACATGTGCCTGGAAGCCACACGCTGCATTACACCAGGGGAAGAGATCTTTCTGGAGTATGGCGAGCTCTCCAACCCCATGCTTTATCGAACTTATGGCTTCACGCTGCCAACGAAGGCTGCGGGGGATGTGTCTTCATTGATTGATTCCCAGTCGTTATGACCTGCCCAGGTCAACATCCAAAGCTGTTTGGTGCTACCGAATCGAGTGCAGCGAGTTCCTGGCACCGCATTCCAGGGACCTTCGCAACTTTGGGTTGTTTTGAGAGACAATTTCTGAAGTGAAACGTGTCCTCGTCTTTGTTTCGCATCCTGGTCAGGTAGCCTGTTTAAGTACTCCAACCCTTCTGAATTTAGAGTTGCGTGGTCGTTCTAGATAGTTTGTTTTTGGCTTATGTGTGCTGTCCGCTCGACCCTCTTGCTTGCTGTGTTTTGACGGAAGTACATCCCGAATGTGTAGCAGAAACTTCAAGGTGATCTACTGTTTCTGTTTGGTTATTCATGGACTCATGGTCAGCGAGCGAGCAGAAAACGTAGTCTTACACTTGCTGTGAGACCTTGTCCAAGGTGCTGAACCATCACCTTCCGTCCAGCCACGCGGGTCGCTTGCTGCAATTGGACTCCAGCCGACTCCTTCCAGAACTCCGTGGTCTCATGCAGGTGCGCGTGCTCGCCTGGTTGCTCTGGTTGTTGCAAAAGCACGAAAAACAGCAAATGAGCCTCAGGCAAACCCCTTTGCACGGGCAAACCTCAGAATTTCGGTGTTTAGGTGATTGTTCAATGGCATTGTCTAATGTTGAGGTTTCTAACGATCGGACTGAGGTTGGTGGTTTCTGGCTTTCTCGTTTGCTGAAAAACCACATTCAGCAAACGAGGACCCCAGAAACCACACACCGAGTATCACTGTCCGATCCTGTTACATTTGCTGAACATGGCTTTTTCCAATGTTGAATTTTCTAACGGGGTGGTGGGCACGTAGTTGGTGGTTAGTCTCCTCGTTTGCTGAATGTGGCTCTTGCATGTGTTGAATGTGGTTTTAGTCAATACATAGCTCCGCATCCCCAGCAATAAAAGCCCCTGCCTGCAGAAAAAGGCACGCGCCCTGTATCTGCAACTAAACGATACTAAAAGTACATGCAATTAAAACGCATATTTGCTCACCGCAGCTATGTGGAAGCTTCGACAGCTGACAGTCTTCACTCCTGACTTCTGGCTTTGCACATTTCAGAACATGCTTCGCAGGTGTGTGCAAGCCTTGGAAGCGGCCAGCCTGCCGAATTTCTCCGCGAGCTGCTCGAGTGCCGCCTCGAAACTTGGGATTTGCTGGGCTGAGGAAGGTGAGCCCCTACTGTGTGAGGCTTCAAAGCTTTTGAGGCTTGAGATTTCCCGCGAGTCAAATTCGAGAGTAGCTCAGCTTGCAGGCGCTCGTCTTGTAGCGTATGGTGCACTTTCATTGGGCAGACTGTGGAACGTTTTGTGAACCTCTTTGGATTGAGGCAGGGACCTGAACAAAGCCACCAGTGGTTTGAACCTCTCTCTCCCCATCTCAACTGACAGACAAGGATTCAGACTAGCTAGCTACTGGTTCATACTTAAAGATATAAGTTTGTCAATCCATGAAGCAATTTACCCTACAATCTGGTTTGAGTCAATGAGGAATGCTATGAGAGCGGGGCCTTGCAGGACAGATGCTCTTGCACGGTTGCATGCTGGTTTCCATCAAAAGCTGTCAAGAGTTTTGATGCGTACCAGAGCTTTTCTGATGTTTTTACATATCCATGCATGATAGAAGTGGAGCTACAGTTGCAGGATTCCGAATGCTTATCCGATGAGCTGCGTGTGAAGCAAAGTACCTGTCCAGCAACTGTGGTATTGGAAGGGGGGGGGGGGGTCTGTCAACTACTTAGCTGCTGAAGTTAATTTAGCACATGTCGTGGACATATCGTCCATTTCATCTTGGCGTGCCAGTGAACCATTGCCATCTTACCATGAAGGTTGTGTGCACAAAGGGGTTGCGCAAAGCAGACAGCGGAACTGGACGTCATGAGACACTGTAGAGCCGATGCTCATGCGATCATGTTACCGCAGCATATTCAGATATTTACTCCAAGAACATGCCAAAACAGAGTTGTTCAAAAGACAGAAACAAATCCGAAAGCGTGGTGTTGGGTTAGATGACTCAAGGCCCAAGCCCCAGGCCACGTCGCTGTCTTTCTGGAGTTCGTTGTGGATTTTTCGGTTGTTGTCAGGTGAGCATGGCTGCCTGAAGAGATACTTGGAAGCGTTGACTGATCCAGCCAGTAGCCTGGGAAGCCAGCTGAAAGAGGCGCTGAAAATGAAGCTGTTGAGAGCCGACTTCTCAGGCTTCAGACTGGGTTCACACCACTGGAATCATTACGCAGGGCAGCAGCGCATCGTGTGATTTTACCCCTCTCCATGGGGCCAAGCTTGATCGTGGGAATCTTTCTTCGCGCGTTGACAATCTGAAAAGTCTGACAGGACGGACATGGCCGGGAGCAGTGGCAGGATGGCTCTAGTTTCGAAGGACTCTTCAGGCCCGTCTCCCTTCTGCGACAGACTTATCATTAGCCGTTTCTGCGGTTTCTCCAGTTTGAGACAAGGGCGAAGTCCGATCAGTTTCAGCCATTTCATTCAGAAGAGAGCGGTATTCTTTGCTATACTAGCGGCGTGGAACATGCGGAACACAAGCTTGTTTCGTTTGCTACGGGTGACTGTAGCCTCACCTGAGCTCAGGAGACTCCAGTCACAAGCGAGAGAGAGAGAGAGAGAGAGAGAGTACTGCGGGCCATACCAATTCTTTTAAACAGGAGACCTGAGACCGCACCGAACCGTTTGGCCCTCGCGGCCTCTTAAGCGTGCAGGAGAGAGAGAAAGAGAGAGAGAGAGAGAGAGAGAGAGAGAGGGATGGAGGGAGGGAGGGAGGGAGAGGGAGGGAGGGAGGAGAGCGACGAGAGAGGGAGAGGGCATCTGACAGAGCATGTGTTTCAATGCTTTCGACTGCGCCCAGAGCCAAACTTGCCTTAGCCGCGTGCAGGCAAGGCAAGCGTTGCCAGGGCAAGGCACAAAGCCCTCCAACACAAGTCTGCTCACGTGAGGTTTCAGAATGTTGAGGCTCCACTGTCATGAGATGGATGGGTGTCATTGGTTGTCAACAGTGGTCAAGCACAGGAGCTAGAGCCTGATTCACAAACTCGCTGTGCTGTGCAGGTCCTCTGGGCGAATGGTTGGTACGAGGGCGACTTCCTCAACAACCAACTGCATGGTCAAGGCAACCCAGCCTGCAAATGGAGGTCAGCGATTGGCGCACCAGTTCATGGTCGTCAGGCAGCTTGTGCTAGCCTGCTAGGCAGTCCTCCTCTCTTTTTGGAGTGGTTAACAGTGTCGCCATGCCAGGTACCTTGGCATGGCGAGGTGGCCACGTGTACACAGGGAGCTGGGCCGATGCCTGAGGTTCACTTTGATTTCACATGGCTTGGGTCTGGGAAGTGAACCCTCGTCACTACGTGCCGTAGAGATCCTCATCTTGCTGTGTTCCTTCTGCGACTCTACTTAGTAGGCCTCTGTTCTTGATGCGGTTGCGGCCCTATGAGCCAGGTCCGAGATTGCAGGGAAGGGCGGGGTCGAGAGACCTGGCCAGATGGGCGCTGTTACTTGGGCAGCTACCTCAAGGCCTCGGCTGGTGTTGGCATGCTGCGGAGCTTTTGGAGCAGTATCCATTTGGGATCTCTCGAATGGTTTTGATAGATGTTGTGTAGGTGCTCTGTGGTACTCTCCTTCCTGCAGCGGTTGTGTGAGGTCTAGATCATCCAGTGAAGTCCAGAGTGCAACATCGGAGTTGGTGCAGGACCGGCGCCACGGCTACGGATGTTTCAGGTGGCTGGCTGCCTAGTGGTAGCCAGTGAATGAAGACTGGCAAACAAAAAAATATGTCAGCAGCTGAGGCAGGATGGCCGACAGTATTGCGGTCAGCAAGGTCCTTGGAGCTTTCATTCATTGGATTGCTTCTGGGCAGCGGCAGAAGGCCAGCTTACCGGATCTCCTGAACCATGATATGCACTTTCAATGCCACTTCATCACAGACGAGAGGGGCCAGAGAGCATCAGTCTGGCATGGCCGAGGTGGGCAGACGGCTGCCAGCACGGCGGGGGTCGCCGCTTGACACAGCAGAGCGCTTCATGATGCAGATTGGGACATATTGGGACATGTTCCGTTGAATTTCGGACCAACAGTAGCCTCCACATTATCTGCATTATGTTGCCAAGCAAGGAGTTCTCTGGAATAGCTCCGGTTTTGCCCAGGTGTGCTCATGCCCAATGGCCGAGTTCGCGAAGGCAGTGTGATGAGCAAGCCTTGGCTTTGGCTTGCAAATGCTGCGGAGCTTGCAATCTTAGTAGTAGTTCTCCTTGTCTTCCTGCTTCTCCTCTTACTCCTCTTTGCTTTACTATCAATTTCGCCTGACTTGCGGCATTTGTACCGGTGGTTGTTGTGGTGCTTGTTGTCGCTACTTATAGGGGGGGGTTGCAGTCATTCTGGTTGTGTGGGCTGTGGTGAGGTCCTTTTTCGCTATGGCTGCCGTTGTGTGTGGGGCAATGCGAAGGATTCTGGTACAGATTTTCTTGCCAAGCGAGGATGCAATCTAGCAAAATTATGCAAAATTGTCGGCGGCCCACACTATGTGACAGCTTTGTTGTGCCTTGTAAGGCAGCCATTGAGAGGAGAGGTTGGACCAGCGGTCCCAGACATCCCCAGAAACACGAGAGACCCTCATTTTCTGGTTGGGTCTTCGAAACCTCGCAACTCTGCGTGCTGTGAACTTTCGTTTTTGAACAGGTGAATGGCACTGTGGAAAGCGTGCTCGATGGCTCTGTGAGGCGGTCTTTCGATCTTTGTTTTGTGTTGTTTTGTTGATAGAAGCCTTTGTTTCAGGTGGAGTTAGGCTCATGGAATTTCGGAGAGATCCGGATCAGCCTCGGGGACATTAGGCCATCATTAGGCACCTTTGAGATCACCACGCAGAGTTCGGATCAGGATGTTTGCCAGGTAAACGGATCCTCATCTTCTCAACTCTCAACCGTGTGGCCGCGTGGCCTCTAAGCTTCCCCTCGTAATTTTGAGTGAAAGGGCTCCGCTCGGCGTCTTTTGCCCCGTACTTCCGAAGACTTTCACAGGCTGTCCTTATTTTGCAAGGCCTCGCAAGACTCCGGGCCCGAAGGGCGGAATGTGGCGGACTGTGCCCCAAAAACAGCTCGGAAATTTGCCCAATTTGACAGCGTGCTCGGCTTTGAAACGCCGCAAGGGCACTCGGCATCTTGTGTCACTTTGCTTCATTTTGATATTCATGGCGTTATGCCTCAGGCAAGGGCCCCACGCTTTGATGATGGGTTCTTGGAGAGCGGCAGCTCTGAGTCTCTGTAGATCTGGTGGTGGTCCTTCTTTTTGGTTTCGTAGCCATTTCGCAGCCATTTCATCACCTTCAGGACCACACGTGCCGCAAGTGTTTGGAGTCTCACCAGCGTTTCCGAGCCTTGTTCCCACCCCTGGCAGTCCTTTGCTGGCAAAGATCCGGCTGCGGAGACGGGATGTTTCGGAGTTGGCTTCTGTGCGAGAGGACAAAACGTTCGTCACCAAGTTGTACCGGATGTTTGAACATGTTTGACTCAGGCAGACAGTCTACAAAGGCAGAAAATTCGCCCAGTTGCAAGCAATCCGTGCATTGATTTCGATGTGATGCGATGTCCTTCTGAAAATGCGTGCTTAAGTCGTCCATCGTTTACTCAGGATTTCGGTGCACGTTCTTATTTCGGTTCAAAAGTTGAAGATGGTTGCATTGGGCTCAGCCCCAGTCGTTTTACCTCCATTTTGAGCTTTTCGATTCCTGAGGCACGGGCCTCAGCTGTTTTATCCTCGACGTTGATGCTCTGATGAACCGA